AGTAGGAAAGATAGTTGTTTATTTATGATTTTTCCCATAACCCTCGCACAATTGTATGTTCTCCAAATGCAGACACTAAACTTTTTCTCAGTTGTGTAAACCAAACAACACATCAATACTAGAGGACCAAAGTTTGCCAAGTAATTCCAGCTTTTAATATGCACGATTAATAAATCAGAAATTAGTTTGAAGTAGTTAACGTGGAGAAACCTTCCTCTCCCAAAGTGGAAATTTCAACCCACCCTCTCAAATGTGGACACCGCCCTCTGGTGTCAAACGGGTGTAATGACACGCTAAGTCTGGTGGATAATAACTCACTGCATTGCAGCATTGGGACAGTAGCAAACGGTTTGAATATCAATCACAATTTAAGTGTGAAGCTCATTTGGTTAAAACTTTAAATAAGTACTGTTTTTCCATTTATAAATAGCAATTGTTTCAATAGCATATAAAAAGAATCTCTCACGGAGTGTTAACAAATGTATGATAAGATCTATCAAATGCTATCCAGATGCTCAGCCAAACATAGTCAAGAAAACTGTGTCATCCTCTGCATTGCAGGTGGTGAATATCATCCAAATATCTAAATTTGGAACAAGTGTGCTTTAGATCACTGTGTAATCAGGCTTGGGTGCTTTCATGGTGAAAGGTATAGTAAGTTTTCCTTGTCCTCGATAAGATTAAATGTTTAACCATCAATTTAAACAATTTGTGGGAAGTACCATTGTTATCATGACTTAGTGCTTTGAGAGCCTGCTGCTCTCTGTAGTAGTTGGGCACTGATGGGTGTGTGCCTTGTGAGGCACAGGGGAGCAGGGTACTTTGTTGGAAATGCACCACAGAGAGTCTTAGATAGTTGATCCATCAGCAAATGGGGCAGAAGTGATATCACTGCATCCTCGGCATGATGACACATAAGTCACAGGGGCCTCATGTTTTTGTATCCTTTTCCCTGTGACCTGCCTGTTAAAAGGTCATCCTAATGAGACTGCTCCCGAGGTGTCCTTCAAGTGCCACACTGCTGTGCAGGAAACAATGCTGTGTTACGGATGCTATTTTGAATGGTGTCACAGCATTGCACTGACAGCATTGAATTATTGCTGGCCCTTTGATGCTGTTTATAGCTTTACCATCTTGTCAACACATATAATCATCCTAAAAATTTCTCAAGCAGGACGTTAAATTGCCAACCTCCTTTTCTTCTCCCCCCATCCATAATCCTTAAGCCCAATTCTGCCTCAAAGTGGCCCATTTAAACGTTTTTAAACTGTTAGTTTTGAACAATGTTTGTACCTTAACAACCTGGGATTTTTTATTCTTTAGTTGTCCATTAACAAACTTGTTCTTAGCTTCAACTGCTTTCGGATCAAGTGACCTGCACCTGATTAATAACAACGATACAAGCTTTTCATGACTTGAAAAAACGGTTTAAAATCTCAAACTGGTCTCAATATGTCGGTTCAAATATCATGTTATTGTTCTAACAACTATTTTATGTATGTAATAACAAGTTCCTAACTTGTAAATATAACTACTGTTGCCAAGAGTATAACTACATGTATGACCGTTTTCTTTTTTAGTTTGTGATCTGCTTAGCTTGGTATGCAGAAAGGCTTTAAGACAAAGCACACCAAGATACTTTACTTTGTAATTAAACCCAAATGTAATGTACATATTGAAAGGTGGTAAAACAACTTGACACGGAGTTGTTCACACTATACATTTTTTTATGTCTACCATCCATCAATGTTTATCCATAACTTGTAAAGAGGGTCACATGGGGCCTTGGCTTCATTTAAGGGGGTCACAATCCACAAGAGACTCTCGAACATGCTTTAACTACCTAAACCGGACAGAGCAGCACTCCCTTTGCCTGCTTGTCACCTGTGATCCTGTAGCTACAACAATAAATCAGTTTCTCTGAAAACAGCTAATTCAGTGTGCGCAAGCCCACACTTGATAAAAATCTCTTCATGACTGTCCCATCTTTGCAGTTGGTTTCATGGCTGCCCAGTGTGCACTCCAAAAACAGAAGAAAAAGAAAATCTTCGAAAGTGTGTACTTAAGTAAATGAGGTCTAGAACAACAAACTCCGGAAGCCACTGATTGACAGATGTGTCTGCCCACTCTGGTCCACTGGCTGCAGCCATGGCTGTGCTGCGGTCGTCAGAGCTCCACGCCTGAGGACATCTGACACAGGGCCATTTCTAGGTTACAATAACAACACCACGCTGGCACAACTGCAGCGCCGGATATCCGAAACACTAAAAGCTCATCAGGACATATTTAGTTTAGGTTTGCAAATAACTTTTGGCCCCTACAAATGACTTTTCTCTTTTTGTGTGCATGAACAACTAAAAATATATACAGCTTGTGGCTTAATAACACAGTTCATGTATAGCAACAGCAGGAAGAAAAAAAACACAGTCACCACTTTTATTACATTAATAGCAGCTTTGTGGGTTATTCATGTATGACATGACTAATATTGTACATATTTCCCCCGTAAAAACCCTGTAGTAAAGAAGCTGTTAATTCCTTAAACGTGCGTGGAATGTAAATAAACAACACTCCAGTCCCCGCCTGCGGAACAACCATACAGGGACATCGGGCTTGGAGAGCCCCACATAAACTACCACTCTGAGATACTATACACTACATAATGATGGCATTCACATAAGTGGTTAAAGGAGAAAATGGCCTCCTGACCACTTCCAAATTACAAATTCAAATTAAACATTGATGACCTCACCACTACCAATGGGACTGCTGTTAAGCTGTTAAAGTCAATGCTCTGCTTTGCTTACAGATATATAGAAAATGGCTATTAAATGTTAAAAGAAAAAGAAAATGGATTAGGTTTTTTCCTGTACGGTACAACCTAGACACTTTATTGTATGCAGCACTTTCTATAATCTCTCTCCCATCAGACACTGGAGAACTTATCAAAATAAGTCATATGTCCCAAAGACACTAACATTTGCTGAACTGGAAATGTAGATATAAGAACCGCAACTCTGAATTGGATGAAGTAGGTATAGAGACTTGAAGGATCAAGAAACCTTTATTTTTATTTTTATTGTAAACCATTTATGTTTCATGTTTGCCTTTTTTTGACTTTGCTGTCCTTTGGTAACATCGAGTGCACAGTGGGAGTATGACCGTTGTCATTTAACATTAATGTGTGAATTATATACATAAATAGATATGTTAAATCTATATGTGTCTATATAATTCACACATTAATAAGTATCATATAACACTAAACAGAAACTGCATTTTTAATGCTCACTTTAAGTTAGTGTAGCATTTTGATTAATCAGGCAGTCAACAAGTCATATATCCTTACTGCAGCTGTTGTAATGTCACAAAGAAAATGTAAACATCTATTCATCCATCTATGTGTGAATTGAAGGGTGATGTTATGTCCGCAGTGTTTGCATGACTCGAGTGGGTATTTTGGTCATGGCTGTAGGCAGTGCTGGAGGAGTTCAGGAATGTGTGACCACAGGACCTTTTGGCCCCACGGCTGCTTGTCTTCCTTCCTTGTCTGGGTCCGAAGACATGGAACATCATATCCCTGAGCGTCTCGTCCAGGTCCACAGTGTGACAAACCACAGCCGACAGCCACCCACTCACAAACTGGAAAATGACAACCCTTGGTACAGCGGGCGCTCTCTAGGAGAGGCAGTAAAAACGGAGAGATTTCAATTTTGCGGCACTATAGAGGGAGCCGTGATTGCTTCCGCCCTGAGTGTGGGCGAATGGGGACGTGTCAGATACATGTCAATCATCCGGTCAGACTCTGTGCCCTGGTCTATGGTCCTGCAGCATCAGGTTAACGCTGCCATCTGCTGGACTGCTGGCTGCCTTTTTTTTTTTTTAAACTTTCTAAGTGGAAAAAATGCTGTTCTCCCCTGCAAGTAAAATTAAGATATTATTTCTTAGACAACTCTGCAAGTAGTTTTTCAAAAGTGAATCTATTCAATTATGATGAAACAATAGATAATATATGTAATATGCAATCAAGTATATTGCATATATTGCACAAGTATATAATCAACCCTTCAAGTAAGATGTTTGTACATACACATAAATCCATCAATCGTTCCATCCATCCTCTATGTAAAGTGTCCCTCCCACATCCCATTGGATAAGAGCCAAGATACACCCTGGAAAGCTCATTTAAATAAGCTTTACTAATAAATCATTAGTCATAATCAATGCGTACTATTAACTCTAGCACTGTATAAGCACTATGAAACTTAACATTTTTAAACCTTACAAAACAGCATGAAAAAATGTGGACCTTTTAAAAAAGAAAATCTAAACACACTCTAAGTAACTGAGTTTTTTTTAAAGTCTCATAAATGTTTATCTACAGTCATTAATTGTGAAGCTTATACTGGTTTCATGTCACCCAATGTCGCAGAGAATAAATAATACTAGGTGTCAGTCACTTTATTGAGATGGCTGAAGTTATCATGCTTTGTGTAATGATAAATGTACTACTACTTGATTATGTATTTGCATTACGACAGGTTTTCATCTGAGAACCAAATTCCATGTTAAGACGTCTCCAGACATGAACTAACTACAAAATGTGAAGATTTATCACAACACAAGATGAGTTAGAAGAGCCAGTTTTGTGAAAAACCCTCTCTCTACCATCTGTGCCTGAATGAAAAGTTACTTTGGACAGCCACATATATGCAATAGTGATGTCATATATTTCGACAAGCATCAACGGTTATCTCACGTGAATAAAAACACATTTGGAAATTGCAGTTGAAAAGAGCAGATTCAACTCTTTTTTCTCTTTTTCTCAAAGAGAAAAAAATATGTATCTAATAATATATATATTTTGGCTTTGTGTGTTTTTTGTGTATGTCAGTGTACGGGTTTTTTTTATTTTTTATTTTAGTTTGATTAATAAATGTGCACGAATCTGCTTTCGGTGTTCGTCAGTGAGACGACAGTACGTCACTTCCTGTTAGTTCGCGCGGGCTGGTTGAAAACAGACGAAGCTCTTCACGTAGCTGCTGTGTAACTAAATCACCGTGAATTGAACAGTTAGTTATTGTTAGCTTACATACTTAACTGCTTTCCATGTAAAGGATAGTAACGGTTAAAGCTAGGTTAGTATCTCCTTATATTAAGCATTGGCTTGTGCCCGTTTTGTTTTTCTGCCCACATTAGAGTTGAGTTGGCAGCTAACCCGTCGTTAATGTTGTCATCCATAGCTGAATAAAACGCAATATCAGCTTAATTTTTCCCAAGCAATGGACCGACCAGCAAGGTGAGTCCAACACTGTTTCACCTAACGTATATATTTTTGTTTGAAAATGTTATGTACACACTGTTTTTTTGTTTGCACACAGGAAAACAAAGACTGTGAATTACTGTGAAGCCAAGGACTTTGACGATGGTGAGTTTGAATGAGTCGAGGAGCTCATCTACAAATATCAACGTTTGTGTTATTGTCAGCCATAACAACTGATGATTTGGAGGAATTGGTGTGGTTTCACTCCTTGCTGTTTTCTCGAAAAGATCTCTACTATTAAATTAGTCCACTCCCTCTCTCAACAAAGATGCCTCCATTTAGTGTCTTCATTCTTTGTCAGATGAGGATTTTGCCTCTGTGAAAGCACCACCAAGCAAAAAGGCAAGAGAGGACGTGAGACAGGAACAGAAGAAATCTTCAAGCAAGTCGTCCAGTCAGGAGACCAACTGCCAGCCCACGCAGAGCGAGAAGAGCAGGTGAGCGACATATGGGACACTAAGACTAGTTTGTTCAGGTAGAGAAGTTTAAAGCTGCCTTATACTGAGGGAAGACTGGAAAAATTCTACTGGATTTTGTATAACGGTAAACAATTGATTTGTTTTACAGGTTTAATGTATAAAAGGTACAAATGACCCGCAGTAAAGTAGAGAATGGTGGTGTTATTTTCTGTCTGATCTGCAATCAAACTGAATTAATTTGAAATAAGGCAATGAAAAAAATGCTGTGCACTAAAAATGAAATCTATTCTGCCATTAATCACTGACAAGATAAATGTGTTACAGAGAGAGAAAAAAAGTCAACCACTAACTGAGGTCAGCTGGTTGCTAAAATAAAAATATGAAAAATTATTTTTCTGCTGATTACAAGCTCACTATAACTGAATCAAAGTTCTGCTGTTCAAACATTTCATTATTCTTGCTGAAGTTCAGTACAAGCATCATTTTGACTGTACTCTATATATTGATGTTTATCAACAAATACAGATGCCAAATTGATATTACAGGCCAACAGTGTGTGTAACCTTCGTCCTACATCTGGGAGATAAATTAAGAAGTAAAAAAGCATTTTACATGTTAGCTATATTTAAATTGAGCTGCTCCGTAGATTAAACTCACAGCAAGAATCAAAGACTAGTATTTAATTATTATCATCTTATTAATATTTAGTGTAATTACAATTTCTAAATCTTTTCAACATTTGACTTTGACAGAAAGCCGCTGGATGTGAAGCTATATGAAAGAGATCTTGAGGCAGCCATCACCCTTTCATCGCTTAATGGGACAGACGAATTAAAGGAGCAGTCTCCCACCACTAGAGGTATAGCGTTGCCTGAAATTCAGCATGTTTTTTTTAAGAGCTATATCTTACATTTGCATATTTTCCCATCCAGCAGAGGCCAAAGTAATAATCCCCATTGATGAAAACACAGACCCAGCCTCTTTACATCTGTCCAACTGCAGTGTGGACGTACGAGTTATGGGTAAATCTCTTATCTACATTCGTACAAATACATTATCCATCATTTCATCTTTCTGTCTGAATCTATTTATTATTGCTTTAATCTAACTTCCTTAGGCTTGGACCAAATCATATCAGAGAAAGGGTCACTGGCCTCTGCCAGACAGAAGTCTGCCTCTAAAGCAGCTGAGGTGCAGAGAAATAAAAATGATGACGACGACGATGAGGACTACCAGCCCAAACGAGCACCAGGTCCCCCCCCTCTCATGCTGAGTCTGGCAACTGCTTTTTTTTGTGTCCCAAGAGTTTAACTGTAAATACTTTGCAGACTCAGAAAGCGATGAAGATTTTAGTGAGCCATCTGACAGTGAAGATGAGGAATTTACCCTAAAGAAACCCAGCAAGGCTATAAAGAAGGAGAAAATAGCCAAGAAAGACCAAACAAAACCAACATCTGCTTCTAAAAAAGAAAGGCCCTCATCAAAGGCGTCAAAGTCGAAATCACAGACGGCAGGTTTGTTCCTGATATTTATTAAAGATGTTTCAGCTTTTGACTGAGGTTATATATTCACATGGCCATTGTTATGAAGACCTTATTTTTCTTTTACTCTGCAGCTTCAACGCCAGTGAGAAGTCCTCCAACAACCAAAGTGGCACCTAAAATGCCTTCCTCATCCTGCTCAGTGCCCACATCAAAGTCTGCAGCCTGTCTGAGCCCACCAGGGGGCAGGAAACCCAAGTGGACCCCACCAGGTACACCCCTCACCTGGCACCACACGACCGGTGAGCCAGTGGAAATACGCCGTCATTAGACAGGAGGCTGACCTTTCAACTATGTCGTTCCTCAGCTCAAATCGGTAAAAGTTCCACGCCGTCCCCGAGCTCTGCAGAGAAGTCTCCAGGTGCCGGTCTGCGACTGGGACTGTCCCGCCTTGTCCGAGTGAAGCCCCTTCACCCCAGTGTTACTAGTCACTGAACGGAGTACCTGTCAGTGAACGGCACCTTCTACAGTCTATTTGTCTTACTGGTCATTTTTAAGCAGATGCTCAGGATAAAAAACATTTCTGTGTTTTATTTGGATGATAATTTATGTGGATGACTTCCACAGCAGATATCTTGATTTATATTGCCGTTCCAGTTTAATAACAGCGTGAGCGAGCAGCAGTTGGTGGCGACCGCTTGTTGGTTTGTGTGGTAGGTAGAGAATGCTGAATTTACCATCTCTTTTTCCCATATTTCTCAGTTTTCCACATTTGTTTTAGACTTGTTTGCCAAACCCTGTATATTGTGTACATAAATCCAAAATAAAGTTAAATACGATTTCAGTGGGCAAGTTATGTTTGTATCTATTGTTCAAACGTTACATCAGCTGTGGATTATTAAAAGGTTAAGAAAATTGACTAAATTACTAAAAGTATTAAAACTGGGACACAATGCAAGGGCAGTTTGATTAGGATTATTTTTTTAAATTTTTTTAATGTTGGAAGCAGTCATACAAAGCAAAAACGTAACCTTTTAATTTGACTTATTGGGAGTTGTATTCAATGTGGGGAGAAAAATCCCTTGAAATTTGAGTTTTTGAATGTAAAAAAAGTAAATCTAACTAGACCCTTGATGTATGAATTACTATATGAATCAAAACAAAACCAAGAAGAATACACTTCTCTGAGCCCTAAAATACAGAAACACAGTAACAGCACGCATTCTTGTGGCTCTTCCTCATGAAATGAGTAGATATTACAAATGTTAATTAGATTTGTTTTTACCAGTTTATTAGACACAAGCTTCTTTTCATTTATCTAATTTTGCACATCATCGTCTTGTCTTTCCACGGTCGTCTTATCTGAAAAATCTTTTTTTTTTCTTCTTAAAATGGAATTAATGTGTTTTAATTTTGTGCTATGCATGGAGGCGGAGCGAAGACAGTACTGTATGAGAATAAATGCCTTTTTGAGGCAAATTTTCTGCAGTTTTCTAACAAGTTTAACATGCATGAATGATAGTCAAAATGAAATCCCTTAAATGTTTTTAATATGTTTTCTAATCTGATTGTACCTGTGATGTACTGGTAAGGTGTCCAGGGTGTATTCTGCCTCTTATGCTAGCAACCCCCCCCCTGCAGATTTGGCAGCTGGAAGTCGCAGAGAAAATTGGATACAAGCAAATCCTGGCATGGATTGTTCCTGACACGTTCATTTGCTTGTATAAAAAATGCTTCACAATCTGATAAAATCTTAAAAATGCTTCATTAATATGCTCAGTGAACAGGCTTAACATCATAATTTTACAACAACGTTCACATCATTGCTGTTAAGCCAAAAACGGTCACATGTGTTTCTTGCTCTTTGCTCCTGTTCCTCATACCTGCAGAGCTGTGTTGGGTTCTGCTGTGCCCCCCCCGGGATAACTGGATTTAATGGTTTACACCTTGCATCACACCTGTGGTGCAATAAGAAGACCACAGAGGGAGAGCTCTGAATATGACCTGACCCTCAGAGTAGATAAGGCAGCCATTGTGGGTCAAAGCCTGTGTTTGTGTGTGTTGTATGCCTGGAAAAGGTGTGGAGATAGAAAGGGAATTACCTGGATTAAAGGGAAAAAAAAGAAAAACTTCACCAATTTCCTTTTCAGCCCGACACAAACGATCACACACAGAGTAGCACCACCATGAGGTCAGGCTGGTTTAAAGGATCGCTGATAATCTTAATCATGACTTTAGCCTTGTTTTACCTGGGCTCCATAAAGCGGGAATTCCACCCCCATTCAGAGAAACTACAAACAAACTACCACAATGACTCCATCAAAGGCCAGGGAGTGCTCAGGAAGATGGAAAAGATGGAAGCAGACATCAACAGGCTGCGTGAGTCCAAGTCTCAATCTGATTTAACTTTTTCTTGATTCAAAGGGTGTTTTAGCTAAAATAATTAAAAAAAAAAAGCATCTGCAGATAACATCACCAACAATTGTAAATGGCTGCCGAAGAATTAATATGATGAAGCTTGAGACTATGCATCTGTTTGCTGCTTCAGTTTGGCTACATGTCATTGATGTCGCCAGGAAATAAAACTAATGCAAAGGACAAAACAAATCTTTTTCTGCAGTGAATCTGGTGGAAAAATATGAGAAGAAGCAGGAGGCCGCGGGGAAGGTGGAGATAAGGAAGGAGAGGAAGGGGGTGAGGAAGCTGTATCCAAATTCTTATTTGTTCAGAAATTGGGGTGATGATCTGTCAGAGGAGGAGCAGAAGGAGGCTGAGAGCTCGTTTCAGAAGTATGGATACAATGCCTTCCTGAGCGACCGGCTGCCGCTGAACAGAGAGATCCCCGACACCAGGCCCACAAGGTGAGCCGCACATGATGGAGCTTTAGGAGCGGCTGTGGACCATCACGTCCTCAGGTTTCATCACAGTTATTCAATCTTTGAGCACTGAAGTCATCCCCTTTGAAAGGATTTTACACAAGGATTCTAGACCACTTTACTGTTTTTTTTCCCCTTAATTTTAGACCTAAATAATGAATAAGTGTTTGATGCTACAGAAAACAGAAAACATTTCTTTTAAGAAAAATCTAAAGAATACAAATTCTGGTTGTAAAAAAATAGATTAATGTTTGGTTTGTGATAACTATTATTTATTAATGCAAAGGTTATAAAAGGCAATTTGAGTGGTCATACTGATTTAATGAGAGTTTTCTTGATTTGACTGTTAACAGGTGTTACGACAAAAAGTATCCTGATGATCTGCCCTCCCTTAGCGTTGTGTTAATCTATCTGGATGAAGCTCTTTCTATCATCAAGAGGGCTGTCCGCAGCATTATCGACAAGACGCCTGCTCGGCTGCTGCGGGAAATCATTCTGGTGGACGATCACAGCTCCAATGGTCTGTTGAATTACATCCTCTGGCTCCAACATGATATTCATAGTGTAAAGGGTAGTTATGATGTATGCTAAATGTACTGATCACTGGGGACATGTTTTTTTTAATGATGGTGGTGAAAGCGTTTAACTGAAAAGGAAGGAGTCTCAGTAGTGTATGGTGGTTTAGTTATCATTCAGAGAGAGAGAAATCCAGCCAGCCCCTGACGGGTAACCAAGCTGTAAGCTTTTAGATCGTAGGCCTTTTATTTTTGAATGCTTTTCATTCTTGGTCAAAGGCCTTGATAGAACAATGATGAATTTCTTCTTTGCAGAGGACTTGGTGGGAAAACTGGATGAGTACATTGACTCCATCCATGAGGAGAGGCCCGGCCTGTTGGGCAAAGTCCGGCACTCTGAGCAGCTGGGCCTCACTCAGGCCAGGCTGTCGGGATGGAAGAGAGCGGTGGGAGACGTGGTGGCCATCTTGGATGCTCACATAGAAGTGCATGTGCGATGGTTGGTTAAAATGCCGAGTGTTATTGTAGTTGAATAATGATTGGCTGGTAAATGATGATTCTTGCAGCTGTTGAAATGACTGTGTGTGCAGGGCAGAGCCCCTTTTGGCTCGGATTAAAGAGGACCGCACAGTGATACTGACGCCAGTTTTTGACAAAGTCAACTATGATGACCTGACACTAACTCCCTATGGACCCAATGCTCATGGCTTCGACTGGGCTCTGTGGTGCTTGTACGAGTCATTCAGACCAGAGTGGTACGCCCTGGAGGACGACTCGCTGCCCGGCAAGTAAGAGTCACCCAGTTACACACTGAGAAATAGGCCCAGAAATATTTTAATTCCTCAGAACATTTTGTTAGCATGGTAACATTCCAAGAGAAATATTCTATTTGATGCAGGAACTCCCTTGTGATGAATTAAAAAGTAACTCATTGACAGTGTTTAAGTCCAGCTCCTCAACAGGTAAAATGCATAAAACGACGTAAAGCTAAGCTAAATGGGTAATTTGTGCAAATCCTTAACTGGCTCCAGACAGGGACTGATTTCTCACTTTGGACATGTTTTATAATGTGCTGCAATGAGATTATTGTGATAGAAACAATTTCAGGTCAAAATATGTTTTATTCTAAGCACAGTGGGAGCACAGTGTGTACCTTATTTGCAACTGAATGCCGTTGCTATGTACCAGTGTGTGTTTTGGTGCCGGGCAACGTCAGCATGGACAGAAAAGCCTTTCTGAAAGTGTTCATTTGACAAGTGAGGCACAGCCTGCACACAAGGCTTGTATTCATGAAAAACCCAGAGATGCACGATCTTTTACGCTCAAACATCTATTGATACACACCTTTTTACATTGCATAAAATTGTATGCATCCCATAGTTGCCTGATTATTGAAAGACTCATATCAGTTTACCTTCTTTATTTTGACTGGTCATATACAGTAGTTATGGCAGTAGTTTTTTTAAATAAAAGACTAATGGAAAGGAAATTCAGAACAATCTTCTTTAGAATAAGAAACCCTCGCTCAGAGAAGATGGTTCCACTCCTCCATGTGGAATAAACTCATTAAAATTCTAAAACCAAGTGTAGGCTTTATGATTAGTCTGTGACAGCGTATTTGTAGCTTCTTTCTTCTTTTACGAGTTTTTCGAACATCTTTACCAACCTCTTTTTGTAAGGGTGGGTTTTTATTTAGTAGTTTTGTTGCAGATTTACTTTGATCACATTTCCCATCTAACAAGATTAATGAAAAAAAACATGCGGTAAAAGACTGTCCAATCTTGTCTTTCCTGTTCTTTTTTTTTTTTTTAACAAATGGACTTCATCCCCGTAGTGAGGCATGTAATCTTGCCATACAGAAGTACTTACGGGAGAGAAGGATAAACAAGTTTGGATATAATGGATAGAAAAGGTTTAATGCCACACTAAAATGTCTAAAATTCAGAAGCATCGTCTTCTGTTTTCATATGATATATTCAGGTTCAAGTTATGGGCAGAAATATAGCATCCCAAAGTTTTTTTCTGGTCTTTATTTTTTTCTGGTGTTTCCAGGAGTCCATCCATCATGGGGATTCTTGTTGCTGATCGGAAGTTCTTTGGGGAAATTGGAAGCCTTGACAGTGGAATGAAAATTTATGGTGGGGAAAACGTGGAGCTTGGCATCAGGGTGAGTTGCTACAGTGGTCTAAAAACTGCTGAGCTTTTTTGTCACAATTTCGTGGTTGTCATGACATCTCATCATTTTGACTTCTTTGATGGCACCACTTTGACTCCATACTAAAAAAGACTGTAGTGCTAAAATGCATACAAACAAATTGAATACATATATGTGTTCGTATATAGGATTTCTGACTGTGCAGAGCATTGAACTTGGAAAGCCCTCATTTAAACAGAATTAATTTTGTGCTCTGTGCATGAATTGAACATCCTGTAAAACTCCTTTTTAATTGGAATTTGTGTACCTTGGCAGGTGTGGCTATGCGGAGGCACGGTGGAAGTAATTCCTTGCTCAAAGATTGCACACATTGAACGAGCTAAAAAGCCATATGTGCAGGACCTGAGCGCCATGGTGAGGCGTAACGCTCTGCGGGTGGCGGAGGTGTGGCTGGATGAATATAAACACAATGTCAACATTGCTTGGAACCTTCCCATAAATGTATGGTTGGTCTTCGCTTTATGGCCCTCAAAAGTTTCAGTATAATCATCCAAATAATTTGATGATGCTTTAAAACAGGCTGAAGTTCCTCACAATTTTTAAAACAAGTGTCATCATGTAGACATATTTTCCCACAGAATCATGGAATAGACTTTGGAGATGTGTCGGAGAGAAAGGAGTTAAAAAAAAGCCTGAGGTGTAAGCCTTTTCAGTGGTATCTTGATAATGTTTATCCCCTGCTGGAACCTCTGCATGACATACTTGGGTATGGAACTGTAAGTAAAACAAAAGCCTACCATACCATTATATAATGTCATGGGATATATAAGGGTCACCAATGTGGTTTTCAAAGGTTCTTATTTATTTCACTATGAAACTGACTCCAATGCAGCGTTTCCAGATGAGAGGTCTTTTTCTTCTGTTGGCAGCTAATTAATAATCTGAAGCCGGATCTATGTGTTGATCAAGGCCCCATGCCTGGGTACGCACCCATCATGTACACATGCAATGTCCTCTCAACTCAGGTATGCTCGGGGTGATGGACTGCATTGAAACAAAAACGGTCTTTGCGGTTTTTTTGTTTGCATCCAAGTTAACTTTTTTTTTCTTCAGCACTGTTATTATCGCACTGATGGGCAACTCTACATCGGTGGAATTAAATCTCACAAATACAACGGCAACAGCTGTCTGGTTGATCTTGGCTCTGGCGTCTTTCCTGGAGTGTACGAGTGCAAAATAGCCCGGCACAAGAAATTCCACATGTTATGGGATTTTAAACAGGTAAGAACTGTAGTTTTGAAACATGATTGAGCTCCAAAGGAGGATGGTTTCACTGGAAAAGGGGTTTTATTTGCAGGGCGGACCGATCCAGAACAGAGGGACAAAAAGATGTCTGGAGATTGTGATGGGTGAAGATGGCTACGTCGGACTTGTTGTTGAGCATTGCAGTGGTCAGAGCTGGAAAATACAACATATCATCTGAGATAAAGCACACACTGTGTCAAAGGTCTGCTCCACCAGCACCATGGACATTGAAATGAATTAGTGAAGTTATTTTAATTTTGTCTGAATGTTTTATTTGCATCACCCGTTTTGACAAATGTCATATTGAATTACATTTATGACAAAAAAACATGAAGCATCATTGAATAATTACTTCAATTCTTTGGGGGAATCAATGTGTACATGTTTTGACTTACAGTCTTGATAATGGAAAAATACAGGTTAAGCTCTACTTTAACTTTCCTGAAACTGAATAAAGCTATGTTCATTTTCAATGGAAAAAAAATGGAAAATTATGCTTTCAGTGGAATGGAACTTCAAGGGCCATCAATTATTTATAATGGACAAATTCAGCTTATGGCAATGTGCAGTTGTTGTTCGTTCAAAGGTAATAAAACATCATTCAAGTCAGACAGGATCCATTAAGGTTTTGCAGTCATGAATTATTGGAGATGAAGGCGTCCCATTTGTTCTGCCACATGACGATAGCATCATTCTTAAGGTGAGGTGGTAGTGAACTATACCTGCAGAAAAAAGTGAAGAGAATGGACTGAAATTATTTTAAAAATATCATTTAAATTTTATGTATATACTGCCTGAAATTTTGATTTGGGTGTTTTGTAGGTAATACCATGTAATCTAAATATAATGGCACATAAATGATCCCAACTACATTTACAAATACATACATGTATAGATGTACATATGTAATATTTCCATATAAAATATATATATATATATGCGTATGTATGTTTGTCTATATGTTTATATATGAATACATGTGTATATATGTATATATAGAAAATGTATGTATATACATCTACATGTGTGTATCAAATATATTAATTATATGCACATATAAGGTTTGAAAAATGTTTATATGTGAATGTTCCTGTACATACTGTATGTACGTATGTGTTTTGTATGTATGTGTATATATATATGAATATATCCGTATGTATGTATGTATTAATTGATCATATTTACATATACTATTTATAAAATTAATTTATATGTATGTACGTCCGTACATCCGTACGTACAATAAGTAAATATGTATAATTACATAGATCCATACATATTTACTTACATATAGATGTAAACATACATACATACGTACGTAAGTACATATAAATAAATACAACTGAATTATATGGATATCATACGTAAATATCAATATACACATAGATATTCATATAGACACAGTCATGTACATACATACACATACACACACACACACAAACACACATACATACACACATACATACATACATGCTCAGCAAATTGGGGCTAAAAGAAATTGTGACAAAATGCAGACATAAAAACTTGACATAAAGTGAGCTTTACCTGATGGAGTTTAGTGCCAGCTCTTTCAGCGTTCCCAGGTTTGCCTTCAGACCTCCAATTCCAACAAATGCTTCATAAAAGTCGTAGGAAAGGCCTGTGTTGCCGAATAAGGAAGGATCGTCAGAGCTGATTACCATGGGGTGGCCTTCAGACATCAGCACAGCTGCAGGGTGGTTCCTCAGATCTGACACCAGCTTTAGCACCTGTAGTTTAGAGATTAAACAAGCTCAGCTGATGTAAAAATGAAGACAGTTTCAAATAAAAAAAAATTTACATTAGAATGTTACCTGGTTTGAGATGGGGCATAATTCCACGGCTATGTTTCTTCTCCTGGAGAGCTCTTTGGCAAGGGGATGGTGTGCCAAAGCATAACCGTGACCGATTCGAGTAGTGTTGAATATAAGAGCATCCAGAATATTTTGATCTATATCTGTGCCTTCATCATCTGCTCTCAGGGAAAACATGGTTAAGTCAATACTATTGTTTTTACTTAAAATAATGGAATGCCCATGTGATGTATTTTTGGATTCTTATACACTTACCCGTCTCCCCCGCATGAAAGAAATATGGAAGAGTCGCACCCAGTTCAGCTGGCAGAGAGAGAGCTTCCTTGAAGTACCAAAGAGTCCTCCCACTGTTCTCCCTGCCAACCTGGAACCAGGGAATAGCAAAAAATTAAATAGAGGCAGAGCGTTGATGTTCCTCTGCTTACTTTTCTCTCCCTCATTTTCCTGTAAGCATAACATTATTGTTGCCATGAACTTGTCTTTCAAGGATTTTTTCTTCAATGGTTTAGTATGAATCAATATGGATCAATTGGGAATTTAATTGATTTGATTTGGCTAAATTACGATAAGTTAGAATGAGTTGAATTCTAATTGGTTAGACTCAGATCTATGGACGTACTAATTAATCTCTATATCTACTCTAAGTAGCAATACTTCTAAGAAAAAGACCCTCAGCCATTTGATTACTGGATTCTTCGGCCTAAATGAGAATTTTTATTATTATGTGGCTAACACCTTTTTTTGTACAAAAATACAACTTAAATATCTTACCATGTCAAATCCTGCAACTACATCTGGGAAGTCCTTTTTCAGCTGGATGGCCTGCTTGACTGCTGCTTTGACGTCCGACACACCCAGAGCTCTGAATAATGCAGCAAAAGGTTGAACTCTGAGACTCAACTAATGTTGACTGCAAGCTTTTATAACGATCTGCTGATAAAGAAACTACAAGTGTTTTCAGTGAATGGATAGTCACTTTACTCAAGGCATCTTTAAAGCATTTAAATGAGTCATCAGGGTAAGGTTAACCATGCAAGTGCTCTGTCCTTATCTGTGCTTAGCCTTTATATCATTTAAAATGTAAGTGAGCTGGGTAGGCACTCAATACATGCACTCATGTTTGCCTAACAGTTATGTTTATTGATAGACCTTATAGATGGGAATAGAAACTTGAGAAAATACAATTGCCACTTCAAATGATGTAAAGAAATTTGGTAGAGGAATCTATGTGTAGTTATGAGGCTGCATGCTTTGAGCTGCCTTAAGCCAAATGTTTCCCTGGATCTGGTACAAGACTATGTTTTACAGCCACAAGTGGACCACAATAGGAAAGATTATTACTGTAACTAAAAATGAGGATAATCAAAGTCATCAGGTCTCATCAATTTAGTAGCATGAATGTCTGTGTACAATTTCATGGATATGTCTTAGTCTAGACATAATCTGTTGTGCTGCTCAATGTACATCCTGGAAACTAAAAGCCTCAGTGTCGAACTCTATGTGCTGCTTAATTTGACATTACCATGACTTCATGATGAAATTATAAGGGGATTTTCTCAGAACAAATTCCTTCAGAGTATCTTACAAAAATGTCATTTTTGTTTTTTAAACCAATGCCTGCTCTGCCAGAATTTGTGGTGAAAATAACAGCCATTTCCTTTGCAAGGAAACAGAAACACATTAGAGTTAATAAATTAGATGTAGTTAAAGGATCATTTTTAAAAAATGGAGCATGATCAAAGATAAAGTGGAGCATGGAGATCAAGGCACATCATGCATTATTTCACTTTTAATTAATCAAAAAACAAATATGTTGCTTGATGTGTTGGCATTTAGACTTATGAGTGGCACTAAACTACTAATACATGATGCGTATTTCAGTCACATGGTCTTTAAGATGCATTTGAATTATACATAGATCTATTTTTTCATTAAATGTCTTGAATTAAAATGTTAATATTTTATGGTACATTTAACTCATGTTGAAATATTTCTCTGTTGTTCCACCACTACAAAATAATTTACCTGTGGACGGAAATGATGATTCGGGCTCCGAGAAAGTCGGGATGATCACTCTTAAACCTCCTTGTAACTTCTTGGAATGTTTTCAAATTCCAGATTTTATCATGAATGGTTCCATCAAGCTCATAGGTCTGTAATGCAGAAAACTTTTTATTAGCTCCACAATAGATTCGAAATGTGAGATCTGATGTCTGTCCGCATCGGCCGTAAAGAAAGAAGCAAACACTAACCCTTGAAAGGCCACTGCGGATTTCCAGATACATGATGTTGTCATGGTATAGTTCCTCTAGGCCCTGATAGAAGTAGTCTCTCAGCACAGGGGCATGGGTGGTGAGCCCTGCAGCTGCGATGAAAGCTTTCTCAAACTTCTCCCAAACCACGTCCTGGTTTGGGTATTCACCATCCGGGTCATCAGTGAAAAGTGTGAGGTGCTGCATTAAACTGAAAGACATTCCACAAACACACACTTTAGCTCAGATTCTCCCATTAAATGCTGTTGAGATTATTCAGAATGAATATTTCAAAGATAATTAACCTGTTATCAAATCCTGTATTGTCTCCTATTTTAGCCCTTAATGTTTCAAGCAGCTGCCAATAGAAGCAGTCCCACCGTGGGAAGGGCTGGCGATCTGAGAACAGGAAGCGTACCGAGTTGTCCCACGTAAAGCAGATGTAACAGTGAGGTCGGTAGGTGACATTTTTTACAAGCCATTCAGCGCTGACAAGAGAGGATCCATGGACGTGAAGAGCTCCTCCTGTGATTTCAATTTAAAAAGAAGAAAGAAAAAAAGATGAACATACATAAAATACATGTTTACACATCTATATGGACATATATAGTTCCTCATATATGCACACATTCATAACCCAGCCCAATGAATGTATGTATACATGACTAAATATGCTAATTAGATATGTATACATATGTAAGATCTGACCTATTCTCTTTTATTACAGATTCATTCATAGATCTTTTTCAAATATTCATCATACCTCATTTCTTTATGTCAAACATTCATCCAAAAACACACACATAAATAAATCATTTGTCAGGTATTCACATCTACATTTACAATAAGGACTTAAAATATCAAAATGCTAAAATATATTAAGACAAAAGTTAGCCTTTGTAAAACATAGACCCAGGTGAAAACTTACTATCTAACCATTATTTAAACTAGTTATTTTCACTTCCCTGCATCCTAACGTAGTAAGATTGAAGCGAAAGTATGAAAAGACATCTCTTGGCCAAGCTTAATACATTATTATGTAATATTTTTCATTAAATTGATTTATTTGAAATACTTACTAATATGTACATATGTAAAATAACATACCCATTATACATTAGTACATTACTATTCTCCTGCATCATTGGAATAATTGAACAGGTTTACCATGCGTGCATTAATGCGTATATAAAAGACAGAAACGCATTTTCCACAACATCAGCTTTCTGAGATGAACAACCACATATGACAATTATTTAACAAAAATGCTAAAACTGTGAATTTTAGATAAGTACTCGCTGCATCAGTGGGAATTTAAAAAATGAGGAGTAGCCAACTTACTTGCTAATTAAATGCATCAGCAAGCGTAAGCCCTTGATAAAGATGTTTGGGAAGTTTTCTGGGGACCTCACAGTCAATGAGTCCACTATAATCTCCTCTGCATGCCAAAGTATTCAAGAGACAAATGTGAGCTCTTCTGTCTGACTGACCCTGTGAATAACAAATGCCTGAAAATTGTAGGGAACTGTGGCACTTTTGTTAAAAACAGAGGATCCAAATTCCTACACAGTGATACGAGAGTCTGCTAATGCCATAGTGCTGCTAATGGTGGTTCTGCAAGTTATTGAATCATTAAGCTCAATTAGTGTTTCACACCTGCCCATGCAGTTTGGCCCATTTAATACCAAACAAATAATGACAAAGTGTAGTAGATTTGGTTGTCGTAGTAGAGCTCTGCCCCTTTGCAGACCTATTGAGTAACCCATCCATCTGCTGGGCATTTTCCTTACCTTTAGGCATTTTCTGCAGCAGTTTGAAGATTGAGCTCTTCTGGATGAGAGGCTTCGCCTTGAAGAAGTGAAGAGTGGGGGGAAAGTGGGCGGCAGACATTTCCTGCTCTTTTAATCGATGGAGGTAAGCGTCCAGCTTCTGCTCGGCAGCTGTCAGCGTCAGCAGGCCTCCCGTTTGCCTGGATGCCTCCTGACGCATCAGCAAGTCCCTTTGGGCCGGGTCCGGCATCCCGGCATTCTCCCTCACAACCCACACAAGGGGTACAAAAGTGACCAGAGCCAGGTAGCGTGAGATCACCATGTCCTTGTATCCCACAGCAGAGTCCTGTATTCCTACTAGAACATGCTGCTCTTTGCCCCCACAAGAACAAGAGCTTTGTTAAGGGCTGAAAAGGAAGAAAATCTGAGTGAGAGTTGAACGAATGACAGCAAAGAGCCCCAGAGGAAAGGTGTGGTCAGAGGGTAGATAAATGTGACAAACTTGTTTGCACTTGCTTTCATTCGCTAGGCTGACCACAACTGCTTCGAAAAACTTATCAGAATGAAGTATAGAGGAGGAAAAGACAGAGTTCTCAAAAGCATCAGCAGATATGGCAGATCTATTTTCTTTAAAATCACTTACAAGCAAGAAGCTGCTCCTGGTGTCCTGTGCCTCAGCTCCCGTCTCTCTAAATGCTCGGCTTGTTTTCCACAAGAGGCTGTAGCGGTAGAGCATGTCAGCAAAACACTCAGAGAAACTGGATAATTGGGACATTTTTGTCTGACTCATACCATGTGATAAACTAATGAACGAAGCATGAATGGGCAGTGCGAGTCAAAGAAAAAAAGAAAAGAAAAAAGAAAAGAGAGCACCAAGAGGAGGCTAATCATTTATATTTTTATTTTGTTTTTACATTTACTCAGTAGAACATTTTCAGTGAGACAAAATCCAAAACAAAACAAAAACAACCACACATACATATAATTTAATCTGGAAACCTCATATACATACAGTGCTCTGGAATGATATCACCTGCTCTTTTAAGCCTTGACAGAAAGGATATTGTACACTTGAAGTAACATAATTTACTCTGTAAGGTTGTGTATGGGCTTAAGTTTTGTTTCTAGGATACGATTTATTTACCTGTGATTGGTTGGAGGAGACACCCATTAGCTACACAGAGACCCATGCAACGTATGAGCTCCAGAGGTTAATAAAACTGGGGAAACTGTAACACAAGATCTGTGTTTATCATGAAGACTGATCCAATTAGAAGGAGGCCTGTAAGACATCCAGCCAAAGACCAATTTTTGACTAACCACTGTAAACAGAGATCATGGAATGGGAGCAGAAAGGGAGTAAAGCGGTCCTTGCAGCGGAGCGGCACCCTCCGTGCACATCTGTAATGTCGAGTCGCAGCTTCAATAATGTCCCTCAATGAACAGATAAATACAGCAATACATCACACAACAACAACGTGCCTCTCCTGTGTCAGAGATTTTCATGTCACACATAAAGGAATGCTGTCTTTCAAATGACAAATAAAAAAAATTAAAAGGAGCGTTTGTCTCAAATACAGCGGAGGTTCTCAGTCCATGAACTTGCGGTTTGGGTTGGCACCGAAGAGAGCCACCCGGATGTCAGGCATCATCTGCAAACAAGGCAACAGCTGCATGAGTCGGAATCATATTTAAAACATCAGTTTGGTATCAAAACACACTAAATCACTGCAGACGTTTAGCCAAGCTGGGTTGAACATTTAAACACTGACAAACAACACATGAGACCCATTTAGATAATTAAGTGCAACTATATGTTGCAACTATATGTGGAAGCTCTTTTGTATGGTCGAGCCAAAAGCCTGAAGAGATTAGAAAGAACTTTCATTTCATATTTGAGGTATCAAATTGAGTAAAAGTCCATCCTTAAGACAGTTAATTACAGATTTTTACCATAAAATGTTGTTTCCTGGCAATGTGCGTTATCCCATAATGAAAGATATGTGATTTAAGTCACTTAAATATATATAAGTAAAACGCACCAAAACACCTACTTCTCCATCCTGTGACAAGGTTTTAATGAAGCAAACTTAAAGCTGCAGTAATGTGAATTGCAGAACCTTTTTTAAGCATTTCACAAAATCAGATCAATGTAGAGCTGATTTCATTTTGTCAAAGGGTTACAAATAAGGCACTGTGATGAACTTTCTCATGTTTACCAGTCTAATTGAATAAACTTAGTGTTATTGATTAGAAAAAAGGCATTTCAGGGAAAAACTATAAACTCAAAAGTAATAAGTGTTTAGTGTTTAAAAAAAAAAACTGGAAGTTATTTCTTTCTTTCCTTATTGTAGTTCTTTACGTCAAGGTTTTTTAAGAATGAAAAACTTGTACTAAATATCAATTCAATTTCAGACTAAAAAATGTTAAATAATGTTTCACAGACAAACTCTTTCGAGCATTTTCACAAATTGCATGCGTTTTTCCTATTCTGTGCTCCTCAACTGTTCTTTCTTTAGTTCACTCCATCCAAATGAAGGTGAAAAGCCTATTTAAACCAGCCAATATTTATGTTTTCCCCACAAATTCACACATTGAAAAAAAAGGTAATTTTCCATTTTTCCATTTGTGTTGACTATAAAAGGGAATCAGTCAATATTTCCCTCTTAGAAAAGAGAAAAGGTATAAGTATAAAAACATATATTCAGGTGAGGCCCAACAATGGATACTATGGAAGTTTAATTTCGACATCTCTTCACAATTAATTGAATGAAGCTAAATTATTTTTTTATGGATTAGAATATAGTGTGGCTGCGGTATTCAGGTGTGACTGGTTCTGCTGCCGGCTAGAAACTGATTTAAAATGTAAGATTATGTTCCTGCCATTTATGTATTAAAAACTGCCCAGCCCATTGAAGATGAGCCATTTAAAAAAACAAAACAAACATACTAATCAAAACCTAAAGCATAATTTAACATAATGTGATGGTATACAAACATTCTAAATATGTTTTAGATGGATGAGCTATCTGCATTTTCTCACCTGCTGAGCCATGAGGTCCAGTCTGCTCTCCAGAGTGTTGGCCACCTTAATCTTCCCAGTACCGTTATAGATCTCAATGCCTCCAGAACTGGATGAGAACAAAATCCAGCCATCACAGATCAACAAAACTGATTTTCATGGGACAATTTCATGAAAGGTGAGGTTTTATCAGTCTTCAAATTGGATAATATATCTTACATATCTGGGGAAAGGAAGTTGTCCTGGTCAATGCGGGCCTCAATGTTGCTTTTCACCGCTTCTTTATATATGGCTGCGTTTCTCTGGATGGATGCCTGAAAGACATGTGATAATATGGATTAGTCTAGATTTCCACAGATTTTTTAAAATACTTACTATATGATCAATTAGTGAACCTTTCTTATACCATTAAAAAAAGGAAAACCTTACAGATTAAAAAGAAAATTGATTTGTACACACTTGGACTTATTTTCAATTTTGAGGTGGATCTTAAAGCAGACTTAGAATAACGATTATGATGTGTTAGACGGTACCACAGTTTCAAGTTGCCATGACAATTTTCTGACCTGCACCATCTGAACGTCCTGTTTACGGCAGCGGATTGTCACTTTGGGCTCCAGCAGCTGATAAAAACCCTGACATGGAACATAGTAAAATGTATTGATCAGCATGTCACTTCTGTAGAAATTGCAACACATTTATCTCATCTGAAAACAGTTAGAAAGGTACAAGTTAAACTGGCATGATAAAGCTGGCTAGTTGAAACTAAGCTGTTAAAAAAAAGGACTAAAAACAAAAATAAATATTAAAGGAAAATATATTTCCCACAACAACTATCCACAATGAGCTTCTCCACAGGGACAATGGCACAGTTTACAGATAATAATACAAAGCATTTGAGCTGAGGTGCCAGACATAGATGTAAAAAAAGTAGCTTCAAAACTGCCATATATATATATATGTAAAGTTAGTACATAATGATGAAAATTTAACAATGCATTCTTACAGTAATGCAATAGCAATATCTGCAATAACTCTTAACTACTAATTCAATCAATTGTTAAAATATTTATCTATACTGACAGGAGAATACATTCTTCAATCCACAAAAAAATCAAATTAAAAAATGGGAAATAGGTTCATATTTCATACTCATTGGTCAATACATGACTAAGCCTAAACTAAGAAAAGACTGTAAAACAAACCTGTAAGACCAGACCGTCCATCAGAGCTGGATACTTGGCCGGGTCTTTGGCCACGTTAGCGAGCCGCTGGCGGGCCTCATTCAGCATATCCTGACAGGACAAACACACAGTGGTTTTATGTCATTTGTACCGCGGGATCTTTTATCTGAACGTTCAATTGAGCCTATAAACAAGTGATGATGATGTAAACAACGGCTTACCGAGATCATATCATCACGGGCCTTCAGTACCTTCAGCCGAGCTTGGTTCATCAGGTTTGACATTTGACTGAAGCAGACAAATAACACACACATTGGAGCTACTTAAAATTTTTTAAGAGAGGGACTATATTTATCCATTTGAGGCCTGCAGACTGCAGAGAGCCAGGCCACAAAGCGCTTAAATAAATTAAGGAAACTGTGTCACACACACAGTGGTTTTGTTGTTCGTAAAAAGGCTAAAGTAACAAAGAAAGGAAAGACGTGATGTGTCCTGTGATGTGTTGCCATGACTCACATTTTCTTCTGTTGCTCAATCTGCTTTTCTTTCTTCTCATAGTACTCCATTATTTTCAGCCTCTGGGTTTGGACCAGTCGGCCCTTCTCGATGTTGAACTCTTCCTCCGCCTACAGGGGGTATAAAAAGTTCACTCAGAGGCAGAACTAATCCTCAAAAGCATCTGTTTGTAATTCAAGGGGCAGTGATGATTACTTAATGAAAATATTTTTATGATTACTTAATAATTATTTCAATACATTTTTAAGGAAAATTACATTTCTCCATCAAGAGTTAATTTTTCTGCTGTTACGCTTCATTTATAACATGGAATCTATGTTAACTAAAACAAATATTAACTCCCTGATCACCAAAAATACAGTAAAAATACCAACTGAAAGGCTTCTACTGCAAAAAAAAAAAGGAAAAAAAAAACGTATAGATTTTTGGTACTGCCTATAACAAAATTCCTACAGCAACATTGAACACACTGTAAAACAAGTGAAAACATCCTTAGCGCTGGTTTCTGGTGAAAAAATAGGTCAATTAGAGAGAACGTGGGGGAGATATTATCAGAGAGTAGATACCCATGATTCTATTGAAACTTAGCACATCATTCCAAATCAGTTCTAAAAATGTACCCTTGTTAATGTTTTAGCACCCCCCAGTGGTGAGTCAGATTAAGTTTAAGATAATCTTACTAAAAAGATGCTGATAGAATACTACTTTATGGGACCAGGAGTTTCACTTGTTCCTCAAAAAGAAATTTTTTTGGTCAATCTCAATTCAGGCACAAACTGCAAATAAACTGAAAAACATGTCTGTGAATGGCACGGATTTGATTATTTGAACTGCAGGGCGCACTACAGTGAGGGCCAAAACTGCCACAACTCGTGCTAGTTTTTAATAAAACCTGACGATGGTGCACATGTAGATACATTTGTTTATTTAAAAACATCCCCTGCAGTCTGAACTTTTGACTTGCTGAGAAAAGGTTTTATAAATGTCTTCAGGACGTGTTAGCTGTACTGTGTAGCGATGAATGAACGCGTTCGCACCTTGGCATCAATCTCCTCCGCCTTTTCGTTGGCCTCCTGCTCGATGAAGGCCATCATGTGCTTGATCTGTTAGCAAGAAGAAACAAATATCAGAAATAAAGTCAGATTTTATTCCTAAAATCTGAAAAAAAAGTATAAAAAGAGTATTTATACTCTTAGTACCCATGACTTTCAAATAAATTCAGATCACAGTACTGAAAATATTATTTACTGAAATTATATCAATGAGTCCATCTTTTACAACATATTCTGTAAAGCGCAAAATATTTTGTCAACCTGTGGTTGTATGTTCTAATACAGCAAACTGGAATAAAAACATGCTGTTATTGTTTCTGTTAAAGATTAAAGTATGTTCAAATGTATTTAAAATATTTAATATACATTTGAGGAAAATTTCTAAAATGCAGTGACATTTCATGTCACTCAGCTTTAGACACAGCTTCAAAAGTAATCTCTATCAATCCTGAAGGTCTCGAGATGGATAAAGGAGTATACTAAACTGTTTTCAGAAACATCACAGTAAATATATGAAGCAAGAGGCGAAGCGGGAGCTAAAATCAACATTTTCAAATTTAGCTCAGAGCTTCTTTAAGACAACTTATTCAAACCCAACTTGTTAAAGAGTTGTGTTACTCCAGTGTGAAGTAACTGTGCTGCCTGTTTCTGTCACTCAGGTGCAAAATGTTTCTGCGCTCTGGTTTTTCTGAGGAGTTTTTTCCCCCTCTGAGTTCAAAGCGCAATTAAAAACACAGAGAATAGCACGCTGCAAACTGAAATAAGTACTTGCTTCAATCAATTATCATAATGAATTAATAAATGAATGTAGGAACTGGATATATTAACATGACATTAAAGAAAACGTGCTTAAAAAAAGTATACTAACAAAACCAACACACGGTGTCTGTTTTACTGACTAATTATCAGATCCTTTCAGATTCTGAGGGTACAGTGGGGAGCCCTCTAGTCTATTTCATGCTCCCAGGTTGTTTTTGTCCTGTTCTGACCAATGTACAGCAGAGATACCTTTTTTAAGAACATTGCTGGAGCTTCATCATTTTTCCATAGATGCACTGGCTAATAGACTCGAGGTTCCTCAGCACATCCTGGCATGTGTTCATCATGTGATCATAGGGAAATATGACCCTGTATACAGTGGCAGCCATGTCTTCCGCACTGCATCAGCCGAAAAATAAGTACTTATAACGTGGAAATTACAAAAATATTAAGAACAATAGACTAAAATCCTCCAAAATAATTGTAAGTAATGTTGTGTGTGTGTTAAGAGCTATGCTAACAGCAACGTTCAATGTCATCCTCGACACACCTGACGTAAAAATCTCGGTTGTAAGAAGCATTTCGTTCAATTTGATCTTCCATTTTCACTTTTATTAGCGACAATGAGCACCGCGTGTCAGGCCAGGCTTCAATAGTGCCCTTTTTGAAGGTTAAAACTGGTGTTTACCTGCTTCTGAACGTCGGCATCGCTGAGCGCCATGGTTGCAGCTGTCAACGGGCCTGCAGGAGGATAGAGCAAAAACACACCAATCAAAGTTTAAGACGACAAAACGAGACGTTCTTTAAAAAAGAGGAAATATTAGACCGCTGGTTACAGCTCTTATTAAAGGTTCATGTACCCGAGAATATCAATTGAGAAGGTATGAATTAATCGCTGGTGTCGTGACTCGTAAAGATGTCTACGGATGATCAGCTGATCCCTCAAATCACATGATATGTACTTCCGGTTGCGGAGCCAATCAAATGCGTTGATGTGACATAAACAGAATAAATCAATGTTTAGCAATCAAATTCATTATTTATTTGTAATACATTAACCATAAAATATTAGATAAAATATATTTTTGATTACATATTATAAATCAGCAAATATTAATACTCACAAATAAAATATTATGATTATTACATTTGTTGTAGAATTAGAGATATAATTTCAATAGAATTTCCTCAACACCAAAGCAACAAATGCAAATTTTGAGTCTAAACGTGTATAGATATCGGTCTTGAGAAAGATTAATTTATTTGACCTTTTTATAAAATCAGTTTTCTGTACACACGCTTTTTATGCATTCCTTAAAATTATAAAAGTATACGTTCTAATAGTCTAGGTTTGCAACCACTATGCATGCTGCTGCCGCACAAAAGTCTCATGACCCAGCTGAATCCTATAACAGGTGTCCCCAGTAGAGGGACCTAGAGACTGGAAAGTTCAAATTTAGAAATAGCTCTTCTCCTTGGATGACATATATTTTCCACTCGGTGTCGCAAACTCCTGCTGTGCTCTCTTTTGACTCACTGATAATCTGCTGTTTGGACTGCGAACATAAAACTCCAGAGATTGTTTATATAAGTGAATCGCTCACCCACTGACATTGACTGACCTCTCTGGGAGAAGGGAGCCCACAGATCAAGGTTACTTAAATAAAGTTTTAGAATTGTCTTTCACTTGCAAATTCAATGTTTACCTACATTGATTGCAGTGTTTCCCAGTTTGGATGGACAGCAAAGTCACCACTGAATCCTCTAATGCCAACTGTTATGTCATGGATTTGGGAGGTGGGGTGGGTCAGAGAGACTGAGACAGACTTCTGCACAGCTTGTCCACCCTCTTATTCCCGTGCCAGCAGTAGCATGCAGGTCTGTCGATCTGCTGATTTGTGGCTTCACGTCTGAATGCAAGTCACACTTTGATCTGCTCTTCATCCAGCAACTCATCCAGCGCTAATCAGAGAGAACAAAGGTATGCTGGGAGACAGCTTCTCTTCTTTTAATTCATGGTGCAACATATTTCAGTAGATTTTTAATTCATTTGAAGGAATAATTGTGCTCTGAGTCAAGACTTATTTTTTTGTTTTTGTGGCCTTTAATGCTAAGGAAGTTTAATGTCAACTTCTAAATATCAAATCTTGCCCCGAAATTGGTGATAAGTTTGATTCATTAACAAAACTTTCCATTCTGACACTAAAAGCTGACCTTCTCCTAATTCCAGTGGTCAGTATCACCCTGGCCTCATTACACATTAGCACAGAAAATGTGCCCTAAATCTTGCAAGTCATTCAACTCACCATGGGCCTGTTGTGCTGGGATTGGATCAGTGGGAAGCTAAGTGCTGAAGTAGGACAGTAAGTAAAGGTGGATTAGACAGTTTGAAAGGAAATAAGTAAGATTTTTCTTAGATAATGCCTGAGGGAATTGGTTTAAATGACTGTGTGACAATTTTCAATGTTTAATCATGCCTCTTGACTGGAGTCTGCACAGGCCTACTGGATACAAAGACTAGTGGGAGGAACATAGCAGCTAGTTGGTTATTAATTCAGTGACGCCTGAGAGGGATCAGTTTCAGCATTATGTGCTGGAGGTGGAGGTGAAAAACTCAACATTAGGACATTTCTGACCAGAAGAAACTACATGAGATGAGATTTCTGCCTATTTCACAAGAAAAAGTCTAATGAAAAGCTCAGAAAACCCAAAGTACAGATGTCAGGTTGTACTGTAAATTACTTCATGAGGAAAACATGTATTGAAGGCCTATGAGCACATATTGTCTTTCTTGTTGCACTTAAGTAACCTGCTGTTGCTAAGAATGCAGGACAGGATTTTTTCCCCCTGGTGAAGCAGAGAAAATGAATAATGTTTCAAAATCAATCAAGAAAAATTCCTTCCATAGGTCCAAAGTTTTAACAGGCATTATGGACACTGCAAACATATCTGAACAGGTACAGCCAAAAGCCCAGGTGAAATAATGCTTATGAACAATCCATACAATTTTACTAATAAAAGACTTGGACAAGTAATTTTAGTGATAAAAATATTGCTATCTCACACTGGGATTGTTAACCCCAGTTCCATTGCAATTATTCAATAAAAAAAACACCTGGTAACATAGTGGCAATATTCCTGTTCTAACTTTTTATTTATTTATTAAAAGTTAGAAACCTTTTTTAAAGTTGTAATGGTTTTCAGACTCTCATTTCGTGCTTAAAAGTACTTTAAAATTGTAAAAGTGTTGTAAAACATTTTTACGTAATCATGACATACAAAGCTTTCACAAAGGCAGATGGCCGCCCACCCTGAGCCATGGTTCTGCTCGAGGTTTCTGCCTGTTAAAAGGAAGTTTTTCCTTGCCTGTGTCGCCTAATGCTTGCTCATGGTGGGAATTGTTGGGTTTCTGTAATTAACTTCAGAGTAGGGTCTGACCTGCTCTGTTTGGAAAGCGCTGTGAGACAACTGTTGTTGTGATGTGGCGCTATATAAATAAAATTGAATTGAATTGAATTTCATAAAGGTGATGGTAATCAGCTATTACATGTTTAAGAAATGCTCACAATGTGACAATATAAGATGGGATGGATGTTAGTGATACAATCTCCTGCAAGACAACGACTTTAAAGAATTATTTGTCCCAGTATTGTCTGAGAGCTTCTCATTCCATATACATATTTGTATATAAGAAAGCAAGCACAGAAGAAAGCAGCCTCAATAAAACTTTCCAGCCTATAATGAGGCCTTACTGCCTTGAAGCATTGCAGCCATAAATGAGCAAACATTTCTTAGATGTTCTTGTATTTCAACTTGATTCCAATTTCCCAATTTAAATTTCCACATCAGATTCACAACTTAATATTAGGTTCAATTCAAGAGGAACAGTTTATGACACCCCAGAGAGACTGTTAAAGGATTTGTCCACTTTAAGAGACACGTTCTGAAACCAGAGAAAACTCAAACATGCCACATGCTGTGAATGTGATACAACATTAGAGTGTGAAGAGTGAGCATTGGAGAAATCTATTCTGGGACTGGCATGAGGGGAAAGAGTTACTGCAGTTAAAGCTGTGACACATGGTACAACAAGGGCACCTTGAGACCTGGCAGCACATTTGAGCAGATTTCATGAAAACATGATTACAGAGATATTCATGATTGCAATTATTTAGAGAGATTGTGCTGTTGATGATAAATGCTAACACATTTGCCGAATGAGAAGTGGAGTATTTTTCCTTGAGGAATTTCTGTTTTCGATATGCTGTTTCCATGTGACGTATCTACTCATGTCATGTGAAGCCACTGAGCTCTTACTCATGGCTGACAGATGGAGATGTATACAGCTCCTAAACATAGTAAGATATGTAAGTCCTGACTATAGTTAGCCACCGCCGCTACAATACACAGCATCCAAAGCAGCTTTTTTCTTTCCAGTGGCAGGTATGCAGATGTCAAATAATAGTGCCAATGTTGCCCATACTTGTTCCAACCATAAAGTATTTATCTATCTATCGTGATACATCTAATAGATCTTTTAGTACAGAACTTGATTGAATATATATAATTATTTAAATTCTGTGACCGCCTGCCTTTGCAGTATTTCTGATTTTGACTTATTTCTGCTGCAGACGTTCATTCTGGAGGGAAAAGCCCCAGTCACGTCCAGCAGGGGGGATGGGGGAGCTCCAGAGGCCGGTCCTGCTTCTCTGCCTCTGAGTCAGGCAGAGAGCTCTGGACCCTGGCAGAGTGAAAGCCTGCTGGCAGAGTCCTGGTCCACGATTGGCGACGTGGACCGGGAGGACGCCAAGAGCCTCGACAGCAGCGATGGGGCCGCGCTAGCCGGGGAGGAGAATCACTCCTCTAATTCTGACATGGTTCACCTGGAGAGGGAGGAAGCAGAGATGCTTGAGGAGGCAGAGGAGAGAAGAAAGAGAAAAGAAGAAGAGGATGAGGAAGACGAGGAGCTGCAGGCGAGCGTGCTGAGCGTGCTGGGTGGGGAGAGTGAGCTGGTGGAGCTCAGGGAGGAGGAGCAGGACCTCCGAGCCCCAGAAACTGAGGAGCTCCTGGTTTCAGCAGAGGAGCCGTTTGTGCGCAGGGAGCCGGTGGAGTTCAGGCATGTGGTTCCCCCAATGGCCCTGCCTCCATTGCCAATTGTCAAGCTGGACCCCCCCTCCGCAACCTCCACCCCAGTCCCCTCAACCACAACCTCTGAAGCAGAGGAGCTTTATTCCACTTTGGGCCTTCATCCTCCTTCTATCCTCGCACCCACTGAAGCAGAGCCTCCCGAAGAGAGTCTCACAGGTTTCTCACAAATCCCCCTCTCAGATGTGGAGGAACACTCAGTTGAACAGGAATCACCAGAGAAGGTGGAGCCTCAGCTGAGTGCTCCAAAGACCAAACCAATGAGCACCACCGAGCTGCTGTTTGGAGGAGCTGCTTTGGTGGCTGTTGTTGGGGTAGTAGCTTATGGCGCTGTTGTCTACAGTAAAAAATAGACAGTCTCCTTCTGAATACCTAAACAACCTTTCGCTACAGATTTTTGTCTTTTTAAATTGATTCTCTATTAGTTATTCCACTTCACCCTGAATATTGGATTTTAATTGGATACTTTTCTTGATTCGTGTTGTGCTACCTCAGCTCACAGCAGCGCTTCTGGCCTTTGTTTTTCTGTTTGATCTTGAAAAAAATGTTGCCAGTAAAATGTTCGCCTGGAATGTAAAAAACATGTTGTGTGCAGTTGTACATTTTGCACATCACATCCTTTTGTGTGAGTGTGTCTCTCATTACATTAATCAAGTAAACAATGTTAATGGGAAAAAGGAACATACATTTCTTTCATCAAACTCTAGTTTATGTCTTTTTATTCTTAAACAAAAAATGCTTTCCTATTTAAAGTCAATGGAATTTAAGATGGTCAATAGCTTAAAGATATTGTTGAATGAAAATCTGGCTTGAGCTGCATTTCCCACATTTTTTAAAGGTGGACATAACACTTAATTGATTTAAAATTGTTGACACAATCAGCTGATCATCCGTAGACAGAAAAAGCCTCTATGTTGGTGTCAGATGAAAATAATGAGAGTGTGAATCTGAACACCTGAAGAGTGTACAAAAAATAATACGGTTCATTTCAGCTTTGAAAGCAAGGTAACTCTTTTTCTTTTGTTGCTTCGTATACTTTTAGAATAAAATGAAATAACATTATTCTCCTTACCCTGCTTACAGTCATAAAGAAAAAAGACCAGCAATGGAAAACATCTAAGCATTGGGACTATTTCTACCTCTAAGCAAGAAATTTGATAACTTTTTTTCTCAGTTTGTAGTGTTAGAAATAGCCGTCAAAAACAGTGGTTGAGGTCAAGCTCAAGTCTGGAAACCAGGTAGAATTTTCATGAAGAAATAGTTGACAGTTTCATAAAAGTGAATCAAAATCTTTGCTCAGAATTTATGAAAGATTTAGCACTGACATGTCAGATTTGTCTTTTCTTTTATTCTTTGAACCAACACAGTGTTGTTGGATCAAGGATCAGAGGAGAGCATTATCTGTGTCCTCAAAAAATCATCATAAGAGGTTTGTTTATTTTATTCTATTTTTATTCTATTGCCTCATCTGTGGCTAGAGGAACACATCCCCACGTGTTGCTTTGAAGCAGGATTGTTATTAAGACCCTTGGGCTGGAAACTGCTAAACCAGACAGACAAGTATGTGTCAAGTGGGTGTGTGTGTGTGTGTGCCTCGGCAGGACACTAAACACCCTTTCAGAGCGAGCAGTAGGATCCGGACAGTCACAGATTTAGATCCAAACTTTTAAGATGGAAAATCAAGAAATATAGAGTGAAGTCATTTTTCGTTTGTCAAAGGAGGTAGCTGAATTTAAAGCATTAATATATTTAATAAGAACTGTTGCAAATTAGGATGAGGTTTTAATTTACAGCTCCATCCTGCCATCTGCTGCACAGTCATACCATCGCAAGCACTTCACAATCTATGATGAGCTACAGGACAAGAGGGAGTCTGAAATCCTCAACAAAGGGATTTAAAAAAACAGACATCGTGACCCCTAAAAAGTAGCTGATAATGATTTGAAGTCACGTTTTTCAAACTATCTGAATAAATCTGCTGGATTACCTGTGCCTTCTGAAAATTGTGTCTCTCATTAGATTCTTAATCCTAAAAATAAAATAATGACAATTATTGTCTCAAACAACTGCATCCATCTCTTTTGTTAAATATCTTGTATGGTGTTCTAATCCAGAGCACAATGATCTTATACACAACGATTATATCTTTGTGGTCATGCAAGCTTTCAGTCTAATAAACAGTTTATACATGAGTGGCTTTGGCACTTCTTGATTTTTCACTGAGTGCCAGTAAATAAAGAAGAACAATGGGGCTGACTGTGCTGTGGTTAGCCTGCCGCTCCCATACTGCATCCAACCTGCACGCAGCTATTGAAATGAGAAGAGGAAGGAAAGCGGTTCTTTGTTTGGAGACATACAGCTGCGCCTCGTCTGCTCGGCACGAGAACATTCACAGGTACACATGAACCTACCCGCTGTTGTGCTTTGCAACAACCAACACCCGTCCTAGTCTAAAAGTGCCACACATTTTTACAGACACCCTCAAAATAGCAAAGGTAACGTAATAATTGTAAAATAACTTTCAATTATG